ATTATAATGATTTCTGAAGATCATGTGACACTGAAGACTGCAGTAATGATGCTGAAAATACAGCTGCGCATCACAGAAATAAATTACAGTTTAGCAGATATTCACATAGAAAACAGCTGTTTTGAATTGTAATAATATTCCACAGTATTACTGTTTGTACTGTATTTTTGATCAAATAAATGCAGTCAAATGCTAGTCATGAAAGTCCAAAATATTACTGAAGCAACACATTTACATGTAAATTCTCGTAAAACATACTGGTTGCAGATCCTCTAAACAGGATTAAAAATATAATAATAATAATAATATATTAATTAAAAAAGCCCAAATATTATCAAACCAACAATTTTGCCTTCCTGCTTAATCAAAAATTGTCATGAAAAATAATTTGAAGACAATTTCACCAACTATGCAGCACAGACTCTGAAGGTGAGAGAGACGGAGGAAGACAGGTGTTTGTGTGTCTGGCTGTATGATATTAAATTGGACACCAGCCAGCGACACATACAGAGACAGAGAGAAAAAGGGTCAAAAGATGAAGAACAACAGCAGTACAAACTAGATTTTACCTTTGGATTTACATGCAGTTTTGATGTTCTGAAGACAATACAAGTGCAATACAAATAAACCATTAAAATGATTAACAGACCTGTCTGTCATCTTATATTGACTGTGTTTACATGTGCACCAATAATGTGATTATTTACAATAATCAGAGTAAGGACTTAATCGCAGTAAGTTGTTTACATGACATGAGCAAACCTCTTCACTCCAGTTCACATGCAATTTTCATTATTCTGATTATTCGTTAAAAAATTGGGTTATTTTTACCATCATTATTCACAAACACTACAACACAAATGATGAGCTCACATATTTAGGTGTGGCCGTTGTCAACTTACATCAAATGCAAAGCATGACTACAGACGTATTGGAAGGTTATTTGGTACTGTGATGAACATTGCAACTTCGCAATCTCACAAAGTTCCGTTATCATCAATGAATCTCTCTACAACTTAATTGCAATATTTTGATCAAAGTATTGTATTTACATTAGGTGAAGTTTAATTGCAATATTGCCAAAATCCCATTATAATCGCATTATGGGGTATGTAAATGCACTGATTGATGCAGTGTCTGATGAACATGATGCAGGGCGACTGACTGCGTGATTAAGTCTATTAGAATGCAGTAATATGAGTGTAAAATTCAAGATATGAGGGCAAAAAAAATTACCGTTTTATATTTATATCGCATGATACAGTTTTCAAAAGTGCTGTTTTTCCCCCAATATCTGCACCACTGCAAATGTGAAGTTTATTTTAACACTAAGAAAACAATCTTGTCAATTTTCTCTGTTTTTGCTCAATTTTGCAAACAAAAACAGTTCAGTCGTAGTCACAGCAGAACTGTCTCTGATCAACACACCGCGGTGATTCATTACTGAATGAATACATGGTTTTGAATGAATCAAGTGAGTCAATGATTCAGTGACTCATTCATAAAGACAGTCACTTGCTTTGTTTAGAATGAATCAGCCATTTGAACAAATCGAGTGACTGAATGACTCACTCATTAAGACAGTCACTTGCTGCCACCTACTGGTGCTTTTAGTTGTTGATTTAGAGAATAATTAAAAATTTTTGCGAAAAATCATTGCATATTTCAATATTAATTTTTTCACCTATTAATGCATATTTAAACCCCATTAATTTTATAGTATTATTTATGTAATTCCAGTCCGTGTAAATACACCTAAATGCCACTTTAGATGCAGCTTCTGAAAACAATGACATGCCACATTGTAGCCTTAAAAGATTGTTACAAATTCAATGTTGCAACTAAATATTTATTTCTAACGCTTAATTTAGTTATGTCTATTCACTGCTTTTGTAATTTAACACAATAATGACTTTATATTATCTTTTGGGCGGTAATTTCTCAGCCCATATTGATGTGTGATTAATTTGTTATTAATTAGATTAATTAATCTGCACATCATGTAATTAATTAGATAAAAAACAATGTACAGTAAAAATCATTTTTACCATCTGAGTGATCTAGAATTTGATGAAATCTTGTTTTCCTACACAGTATTTAAGAGAAGCCTTCTGTAAGAAACAGAATTAAATCAGATTAACGGTAAGGTTTGTGTTTGTTCATTTTTTCCTGCAGCTCGCAGCACAAAAACACGAGCAGCTGGCTTAAATCATTTAATAAATGCTGTTAACAACAGCCAAGAGCAGCACTAAACAAACATCAGTCAACACATGAGGACAGACGCTCAATCATCCCTAACCAGCCAACATACTACATACAACCTACTGACAGAGACTCACGTTACACTTAATCTGCTCTTCTGATTGTTAGGCCTCTGATCAGAGTGACTTCACTGTAGGGCAAATACTGAGCTAATGAATATTCATTAACCTGCAGTGACACTGCTATTGATTAATATTCACTAGACAAGCTTGATACAATTCATAAACGTATAAATCCGAGATTCTCTGTCATTTTACATTACAGTCCTACTTTTGATATATTCATGCAAATTTTGCCAAATTCCGTGGAATTCCACATTATACAGTAAATTCCATTTTTATGACTGGATTCCAGAATTCCATCTGTGTTTTTCACTGAAATCATATGGCCCTAACACACGCACAAGACAAAATTCTCTGTGTGTGTTTGATGTTTATATACATGAAATGCATGAAAGTGGATCTAACTCAGCTGTGTGAGAGTGTGAGCCGTTTACTCAGAGAGTATTTGAGCGTTTAGCAGAAACACAGCAGAGATCCAGCATTCTGCCAATATTAGCCACAAAACCTGCTGAGGCCACAGCCAGACACGCTAATGGTCCAGTAACTCTGAAACATCATCACAGTGAAGCAGCAAAGCCGCAAACCATTAAAACAAAGAGTCAGACTTTAACAGCTGTCCTGAGAGATCTAAGCCTGAAACGCTGCAGTGACCCGGTGGGATGCAGTGTGTGTGTGTGTGAGTCTGAGTGTGTGTGTGTGTGTGTGTGTGTGTGAGATAGAGAGAGACTGTGGTTCACCTAACCAGA